GAAAGAAGGAAAACAGGAAAAGAAATTTTTTTGAAAAAGGAAGTCTTTCTTTACTTCTTTCTTTTTTCTTAAGTTAATTAAGTTAAACCCCCATGGTCAGAGTGGCCCAACTATTCTTCTAGGCATTAGAATGTCATATCCTTGTTTGCTATCACAAAAATCATTATTAGCAGAAGAGTTTAATATTACAGATGCTTTATCTTGCATATAACGTGTCCTTCATTTCCAAATATCCACACATAATAATTCTAAAATGTAGCAGAACACCATTATGTATAAATCATCATATCTGACATATTCTAACTGATGAAATTCTGCATCGAAATGGCATAAAATTGCTGAATAGCAAGGGTATTACAATTATATGTTTGTAAAAGGAATAGGCATTAGTAAATTCTTCAAAGATAAATGCTGGCATTTTGCTGAACAATAAACGTAATAGAATTATAAAAGTAAACAAAAAGTTGATTAAGAAAAAAAGAAAGCAAGAAAGAGAAATAATTTGTAAATATTTTTGTGTTGTATTTACCTATCTACCTCAATTCTTGTAAGGCTACTATATCACTGCTGCATTATATCAAATTAATGCTCCAAGTTTCAAATATCAAATCAGTATTCTCTTTTGAATACTGGATTTGGCAATAAATAAGTTTGTCCATTATCCTAGATCATACGATTCGCGACTGTTTATTTTATTAGGCGATGGGAAATTTCCACATATAGTATGTATATATAGATATAGATGTTATAGGTAAGGAATAATAAAGAAGTTCATAAATTTTCTTAACATTTGGTTAAGTTCGATTTTTCTTGATATATTTGTCATTTTGTATCGTATTTAAGTTGTAACACATGTATTTATGACAGATAAATTGTCTGTGGTCCCTGATTGTATGAACAAGTTTTTCAATATTCTTGTAAGTGAACATCCTTCAGCTCCTTCTGATAAAAATGGTAAATTAATTCATTGTTTAATTTCTATTATGTTATAAGCTGCAGTTTCGTTGAAAAGATCATACTTTTTATAACTAGTATGAGTCAGTGCTTTTTATGTGTACATGTTTCATGATTTTTTTAAGGAACATCTGCTATTTTATTAGATGTATCTGAAAAACCTTTATTTATATAAAAATATGAGAACTCCATGATATTAGAAAAACCTATCCATGGTATCAGAAAAACCTATATACTCTGTAGTGGTGCCTATAAAATCAAAATCACAAGAGATACCTGTGAAATGGAAGGACGAAAATACTGTTAAGGTCTTGATCAAACTTTGGCAAGATCAAGAATCGCTGTTTAAAAGTTCAGTAATGAAAAATAAACAATAATACACATACATACATATTCAAAAAACTTGTAAGAAATTCTAAGCTCTCGGTTTCTTATGAAATATGATGTGTGGGAGCATAATTTTTATTTGTTTCATCGGCTGTTCAATCATACATTTTCTCGCGTGAATAGGTCTCTTTTCACGGCCCATTTTACGGCTCGGTATTAACTGTTGAAGCAGAAGGGTAGAATACGGAATTTTTTACAAGTGTGCTGAAGCCATTTCGAGTGTGTTTTGGTTTTGTTTTGGAGAAATATCTTTTTATTTTGAAATGATACACAAGAATTCTCAGCATGGCAGTTCTCGCCTCTGACATCACAATTCCAATAATCCCTGTCATATCAAGATAGGATATACTTTGTCTCGAATAATGAATTCCTCGTTAAGGAAGAAGGCCCCTATATTTTCTTGAACTGCATGCCATAAATTTGAATTTCTGAAAACTCACAGATCACCAACAGAACCAGCACCAACAGAATCAGCAAAACAGTCTGTGAAGCATAGCTGAAAATCACAAACAGCTTGGAGAGTAATGCTAAACCGCTTTTTTCTATTGATGTAAAATTGACAATTTTCCTACAAGTACAAAATATTTCTCCAAATAATAAAATCTGAATCTAAATGATCTGTCTTCGACAATACAATATATGAGGTCTGTCCCAAAAGTATCCGAACTCTATGTATATCTTTGTCTTTGAGCATCCTATTCTGGAAAACAGGTATTCAGTATTTAAGGTGAATCTTTAGGAGTACTCCTACCAAGTGGCACGACCCAACAGCTGTTCAGTCGGCAACGGTACGCAGTTGTGTGAGTGTCGAAAACTCCGAGCGTCGCATTTCACAATGGCTGCGTTCAAAAGAACAAAATGATCAGTGAGAGTTTAGTGATTCTAGCTCCTGATTGGCAAATACTTCTGGCTCTATGAAGAATCTAAAAAAATGCTCCAGTCATAGACAATAATCACTAAGCGCTCACTGATCATTTTATTCTGTTGAACGTAGCCAATGATTGCATGAAATGCACCTGCTCATTCATCTCACCTGATTCAGGAGTTTTTGATTAAACACGGCATTGTCCAACTTCGTCAACCTCTGTATAGTCCAGATATAGTCCTGTGTGACTTTTGGTTATTTCTTAAGTTGAAACATCCGTTGAAGGGAAATAAAGCGAAATGCGATGAGGAAGCTGTTGGCTATGAAAGCTGTTGGTATCAGAAAAATGACTTCCAGGACTGCTTTCGCAAATGGGTGCACCGTTGGCAGAAGGTCATTGTTTCGGAAGGAAACTATTTTGAAGACAACGTTGTTCATATCATTCAGGAATAACTTTTTCTCATGATATAGGCAAAGGTCGGACTTTTGGGACAGACCTCATATGCTTTATTATTCTACTTACTTGAGGAACTTTTATTTCTAAATAATTTATTTCAATATATTACAATATTCAATATACTATCAATTGCATCGATGACATTAGGCAAACCACTATTTTTTCTGAATTTCTTTTTTACACTCACAAACTTGCCATCTACTGACCAAACAATTACATTATCAGCAATATTATAAAAACTCTGACATGCATGAAACATTTACCAAACGATGACTTGCCCATATCAAAACAGTCATCTATAGATCTAGACAAGGAAATAAATGATAGTTGCATCATAAATTTGTACAACGCTATAAAAATAAATAATAATTGATAATGCAATATTTACCTGTATGAACCTGGAATAGCCCACAGCCATAAAACTGACAATTGCTTCTTTATTGGTATCATGGAACGGCCTGGGTTATTTGTAACAAATAAATTCCGGTCCAAACGCGTCTGTTACGTCCTAGAGGAGGAACGCAACCCTTTCGTTCGCGAGTAAGGCGAACCTCGTTCGTACACGCGTGTCAGTGAACGGGTCAGGGACCCGACGGGTCCCTTTACTCGGGCACCGACGTACGACGAGTGGTCCGTTTTTCGGTCAGGGATGCGAATCCCTTTACCGGGGATAGGACCATGAGTTGACTGTTGGAAGGGTATATGTAATTTTGAAATCAATTGGAGAAAGAATGAAATATAAACAGATTTATTAAAATAACAAAATGAATTACGGCGCGGTTCAATACAGTTGAGGAATGACTGTGTATGTGTATGTGTGTATGTATGAGAAGTGAAAGAAGGAGGAAATAATAAAAAAAAGGTAGGAATATGAGTAAAGAATTAGTCGGGTGAGGGGGAGCGTGAGTGGTCGGGTGAATTTAAGGGAGTGGATAGTTCGGAGAAGGAAACTGGTGAATAAGATATCGAAGGGGTTGTAGGCGGGGACGCGTGTGTAGGAGAAGAAGGCGGAGTATCAGGGGAAAAACGAGGAAGGAGGTAAGGGGATAGGAGTGTAGGATCCGGGTGATAATCAATTCCTAACGCTATATTAACTATGGCTCGGAGGTAGTGGATCTGGGACGTAAGTCTATCTGGATCGCTAATATCAAAAGCTTCCTCGAACGTTCGGAAAACGTGGTGGAGGGTTATCCCTATGTTGTTATAATGACCCACTAAAACGGATTTCAATAATATGGGGGATTAATAAGATGGTGGTAGAAAAGGTAGAAGCAAAAAAAAACAGAACTTACTGCTGACTCCTGTTATCCTGAAGGTGAGCAAAAATAAAATTGATGTTTGGTAGCTCCTGCTCGATAGGTCACGTTGTGCTCGTCCACTCCCTTCCAATTGTCCAATTATGGCACAATAGCAGTGATTCAAACTTTTTATTTTTTTTGGGTCCCAAAAATAAAAAAATAAGACAGAGGACGTAAAAGAATATGTAGTACCGAAACAAAACCGAAGACGAATTTGAGTCTAAGGACGTGTTTTTACAAGTCTGATTTTTGAAACTAGAATCTATGTGAATCTGTTCTTTCTGTCTCTCAGAATAAAAGTAACGGTAGAAGTTGAAGTAGAAGTCGCCGCGGAGGCGGATTACCGCGGTTTTTATAGTAATAATCGGAGGCAGAAGCTATCAGGGTGGGTAGAGAGATGGCCTTTGAGGAAGGGGTGGATTGGTCTTAGTGGGAAAAAGTCTCAGCCATTAGCAAAGTTAAAAGACAACGTGGGAGGAGACAGTTAGTTTTTGGAGATATGAATATGGAAGGGCTAAAGGGTGGAGCGTGAGTGTCTCATAGTTTTAGGTGGATATATGATTGGCTGAATGAGTTAGGCGCGACAAGCGTAGAGGTGGTGGGTTCTTGAGATAGAGAAATGTATACAAGTGGACGGCTGGAAAAATCAAAATGCCGTAAATCAAAGGCTGGGATCAGATTTTACGACTATCAGTGAAGTAGGCTTTGTTGGTTGACTGATTGGGCACATATGGTTTTGGATTGGGAAGATGTGAGTTTCAAGTTTTAGAGCAGGGATGCTCTGAGTTGCTTTGTTTCACTGAAGGTTTATTAGCGCGGAGTTTCAAGTTTTTATAGCTGGGACGACGGACACACTTGGCGAACACTACCCAGGTATAGGTTTTTACAACAGGGCATTGTTTCCTGTTATGGAATTTTCCCGAATCGCTTTTCATTTGGCGCGACGGCTGTTCGCCAGATGGGTCTGTTTCCTAATTTATATTTATATATGTATATATTCCTATTATAGTTATATTAGGAGAATATAAATCTGCGAGAGGAAAGAATTTTTACTAATTAAATCTACAGGACGTAACACGTCGCTAGATTTTCAAATATGCTCGGAGTCATCTGAAAATATTCGTGAAATATTCCATTAAACGTCCTTGAAATAATATTCGATACATACAATAATATCCGATAACTTTTAACCCGTTTTGGAGTTTTCCTGTTACCTTGCATTCGTAATCGTGTTTCATAAGATACAACATCTATTTCTATTCAAAACTTATTCAAAATCTAGTCACATTCACTGCTACTGCTGTCCCACATTACATTTTGTAATAATTGATCAGAAGCGATTACTGCCATTCCTAATATACGTTTCCGTCGAATCCGTCGGAGGCGAAAGTACAGTACTCTCGCCGACGTCCCGCGCGCAGCTAGTAGTGCCGAACGCAGTTACTACGCGATGTGCTTCGCGATTCCGATGCTCGTAGTCAAGATTCGGCTGGCCGGGGATATAACGGAGCGCGACGTCGTCGCTCCGTCGAGCATGAGTCTCACGAACGTCCGTCAGCCGTACGCATGTCTCGCGCACGTGCAGCGTGCTGAATATTCGCTAGCTGCCCGCTGATATATTCGCTACCGTCTTTACACGGAGCTTCTTATAACGCTGCTGCTAAAGTCCCCCGGCTATCCGCTTGACGCGAGCGGTAAAAGTTAGATATGTTCAACTTCGCCATAGCGGATTCTAATCACACTTGGAATGTAATATTTAAAAATCAGTGAAATTAGAAAAGAGAGAAAGTGTGTTTCGTTTAAATAAATATCTGTTGTCATTTAAGTTGCCTAAAAGAAAGTTGAAAAATTTTATATTAATGTAAATATATAAATAAAAAGATTACTTAAATATTTGTTTGAACATTTGGTAATTATTTAGAAAAAGCACACCGCCTCCAATTTTGCTAAAACTCACGTATCATACTCACGTATATTTTAACACGTAGAAGCCGAACTCAAAAGTAAAAATAGTTATTCAGCTCTATAAAGCAAGAAAAAAATGGTTAAAGATAGAGGTATGGTGGGTTAGGAAACCTGTCATTGCAAGGTAAAGTCTTTTCGTTGTACTTACTGCATTAGTGTAGCGCAGTATATAACTAAACTTTTATAATTATTGTACATAAGATAGGACTCATTTTGAATTGTACACAAAATAACTCCTATCTTGTGTACAATAATTATAAAAGAATATATCTTTAAATCTTCGCCTTACTAAATCGATGAGCCTACACTACCATACATTAAAATGACAAATTCTGAAAAGATTAGCAAAGGCCCGTACGCAAGGTGACATGTGACAAAATTACTTATATAAATATTCTTAATTTAAGTATTTTCATTTAGTTGTTATACTGCACTACACCAATACAATAAGTGTAACGAACAGACTTTACCTTGCAACGACAAGTTTCTTAACCTATCATATTCTATCTTAAACAATATTTTCTCGCTTTGTAGAACCGAGCAATGATTTTTAATTCAAATTCGGCTTCTACACGTGAAAATACATAAAATATGTGAGCTTTGGCAAAATCGGAGGCAGCGTGCCCCTTCTAAATAATTATCAACTATGCTATTAATAAAAAACTAAGATTTACAATTGTGTATGTATATTCTGATTGTATATTTTACTTACTTGTAATTACTTTACACAATTGTAAGTTGCTGAAGACATTTTTCTTTTTCGCTCCATACCAGCTGTATTTCATGTCTAATTCATTACTTAAGATTTGTCTGATTAGTCTCATACACGATGTTTTAAATTCTCGCATACAACTCGAACCAGTTGTTTAGTCTGAAATGTAAGTAGAGAGTTAATATTAATTCAATATTTCGTCTAATGACATTTATTAATTTATATATTGGGTGAGTGCAAAAGTTCGTGCGGAGTTTGTGAGTAAAAGTCACACAGTGATTAGGCAAACAAAAATCTTTATTCAATCAATGATATATTCTCCATCGTTTTCTATAATCTTTTCCCAACATTCTGGCAGCATACGGATGCCTCGATCATAAAAACTGCGCGGTTTAGATTCGAAGAACGAAGGGACGCCGTTTTTTAAGGCCTCCAAAGAGTCAAAGTTTTTTCCATTTAAATAATTTTGCAATGACCGGAACAAGTGATAGTCAGATGGTGCGATATCAGGAGAATACGGTGGATGCGTTAAGACATCCCATTTCAGGCTCTTCAGTTTGCGCAGCGTCTTTTTCGAAACGTGTGGTCTGGCGTTGTCGTGATGAAAGACGACTCCCTTGCGATTTGATAAAATCGGACGTTTCTCTTTTATTTCTCGATTCAGATTGGTTAATTGGCGACAGTACTTGTCCGAATCAATCGTTTCGCCAGCGGGGAGAAGCTCGAAATAGATTATGCCCTTGCAATCCCACCAAACAGAGAGCATCACCTTCATCGGGTGCAAACTGGCCTTTGGCATTGCGTCACCATGCTCACCTGATTGTTTCCATGTCCGTTTGCGCTGAACATTGTTGTAGAGGACCCATTTCTCATCGCCCGTCACTAGTCGATCCAAAAACGACTCGTTATTGAGCCGCCCGAGTAAAGAAACGGCTGCAGAAATTCGCTTGATTTTGTTCTTCTCGGTCAGCAAATGGGGCACCCATATATCGAGCTTCAAATCGAATCCCATCTTTTTTAAACGCCGAAAAGCGGTTGATCGGTCAACGTTTAGTGCTGTAGCAACTTCTTCTGTTGAAATTCGCGGATTATTGAGCACTAAAGTACGCAAAACATCGTCATCAATGTCAGAAGGTCGACCAGAGCGTGGCTCGTCTTCAAGGTTAAATTCTCCGCGCCGAAATTTAGCAAACCATTTTTCCACAGTTCGTTTAGCTGGTGCTTCATCCTAATAAACATCCTGAATGTTTTTTACGGCTGCGGCAACGTTTATTCCCTTCCGAAACTCGTAAAGCATAACATGCCGTAAATGCACCTTATCGATACTCATTTTTAAAGTGATATTTCTCGAAGCAGTTTGTATGAAAACAAATGATTTTTTTTTTAATAACAGCTGAAGACGTCACCTTTCCAACGTTATATAATATGTAGATGGAAGTATTAATGACAACACTTTACGACGCTTATAACTCCATCTATTGAAACTCCGCACGAACTTTTGCACTCACCCAATATATTATGGCTGTATGGATTCTCCCTGTGACTATCTTTATTTGATTATGTCAAGAGTGAGAAATTGCATGACAAAAATTATTACAGCATACGTTAAAATGGAAAGATATGTCTATTAAACAACAATTTCTCTTCCAATCGAGTCAAAAAAATATATAAAATGTTCCGAACACTTTTCTGTTATTATGATAATGAAAAGTTGTATAATTAAAGTGTTAAAATACGTCTGCCAGCCGTACGCATGTCTCGCACAGCATGCTGAATATTCGCTAGCTGCCCGCTGATTTATTCGCTACCGTCTTTACATGGAGCTCCTTATAACGCTGCTGTTAAAATCGCCCGGCTATCCGCTTGACGCGAGCGGTAAAATTGGATGTGTTCAACTTCGCCATAGCGGATTCTTACCACACCTGGAATGTAATATTTTGAAAATCAGTGTAATTAGAGAGAGAGAGAGAGAGAGAGAGAGAGTATGTGTTTTCTTTAAATAAATATCTGTTCTCATTAAGTTGCTTAAAAGAAATTTTAAAAATTTTATGTTAATGTAAATACATAAATGAAGAGATTACTTAAATATTGGTTTAAACATTTGGTAATTATTTAGAAGAGGCATACCTCCTCCGATTTTGCTAAAACTCATGTATCATATGTATTTTAACTCGTAGAAGCCGGATCCAAAAGTAAAAATAGTTACTCAGCTCTATAAAGCAAGAAAGAAATTGTTAAAGATAGAGGTATGATAGGTTAGGAAACCTGCCATTGCAAAGCAAAGTCTGTTCGTTGTACTTACTGTATTAGTGTAGCGCAGTATACAACTAAACTTTTATAATTATTGTACATAAGATAGGACTTATTTTGTATTATACATGAAATAACTCCTATCTTGTGTACAATAATTATAAAAGAATATATCTTTAAATCTTCGCCTTAGTAAATCGATAAGTTTACTATATAAGTTTACTAAAATGGCAGATTCTAAAAAGGTTAGCAAAGGTCCCCACACAAGGGAGAGTGTATCATTAATCAGAAGAATGTAAATATATGCTATCTTATTATGTAGGACTGATTTTGTTCCTCTTGTTACGCAATAAAATAACATATGCTATGATTCTTCCGCTTTTGATTCTTGATACATTCTCTTTTGCATAGGAGCCTTTACTAATTTTTTCAAAATCTGTCATTTTAATATAAGGTAGACTCATCACTTTAGTGATGACCAAAGATTTAAAGATATATTCTTTTACAATTATTATACATAAGATAGGACTCATTTTGAATTGTACACAAAATAATTCCTATCTTATGTACAATAATTATAAAAGAATATATCTTTAAATATTCGACTTATTAAATCAATGAGTCTACCTTAAAATGAGTCTACATTAAAATGACAAATTCTGAAAAGATTAGCAAAGGCCCCTACGCAAGGTGACATGTGACAAAATTATTTATATAAATATTCTTAATTTAAGTATTTTCATTCAGTTGTTATACTGCACTACACTAATACAATAAATGTATCGAACAGACTTTACCTTGCAATGACAAGTTTCTTAACCTATCATATTCTATCTTAAACAATATTTTCCTCGCTTTGTAGAACCGAGCAATGATTTTTAATTCAAATTCGGCTTCTACACGTGAAAATACATAAAATATGTGAGTTTTAGCAAACTCGGAGGCAGCATGCCTCTTCTAAATAATTAAAGTGTTAAAATACGTCTGCCGGCCGTACGCATGTCTCGCAGACGCGCAGCATGCCGAATATTTACTAGCTGCCCGCTGATTTATTCGCTACTTTTTTTACACGGAGCTTCTTTTAACGCTGCTGCTAAAGTCGCGCGGTTATTTGCTTGACGTGAACGGTAAAAGTTGGATATGTTCAACTTCGCCATAGCGACTAATAGACGTTGCGTCTTCCACATTTTAGACGCTAGCGAATAAGAATCAAGCGTCTAGGAGAAGTTTTCACCAGCGAACTCGCTGGCGACTTAAGAAGCTTGCTCAAAGCGAGTAAAAGCAGCATCGTGTAAATCACGCTTTACTATCTTCCTTAAGAAAATAGAGTGAACAAGAAGCGAGCATGCTTTGCCGTTATTGTCAGGATGGGCGTAGTATGCACATATTTTCTCAGGTGGCGCATCGGAAAAAACATCCCGGCGTAATCGGCCCGGTGGCCGCTCTTAGTCTCTCTGATTGGAACACAGCCAGAGCAGTCTCAAGGTCGTTGGGATTAGAGAGATATACACAAATGGAGTTAGAGAGACTTGCAATTAATATTACCTGACATTAAATTCTAAAATATCCTAATTTCTTTTTTATTAAAGGAAGGTGATGATTTGGTTTTTTTATTAAAGGATTTTTTACTAATTCTTATTTTTTTAATAAAAGAAAGATATATAAGAAAAAATCGTATGATTGTAAAAAATACAAGCAATTTATTCCTTTCAAATTTTACTTCAATATGAAAAATAAGAATATTTTTAAATGTAACATTGAATGTAACGTTAAGTGAAGTTTATCATAATTTCTCTAGCTATGTGATAGAAATTATGTGATGAAAAGAATATATGCTATATGCTGCATACTACAAATATAAACACAGTTATATGAGTAACTTTGCTATTTACTGGAATTAAATCTGAACAAGTATAAATTTGGGTAACATGTGAATATATTTGATATCATTTCTTGAGTCATAGACTTTGAATTGACTTCATCTTTACACTTTATGGAATATGACATTTCTACCCATTACTGACTGCCTATTTCTGTCAATATTTTATAGTTTATATATAGGGGAACATGGGGCAGAACGGAGTATTTAATTTTTATGGATATCTAAAAAAGGCAAAAATGTACAAAATATTATTTTCAAAGCATATATCTATTAGTTCATTCTTTTACAACAAACCTGTACTAAAGTACAACGTCAAACAAATATTTTTTATGTGAAGAAATGTATGATTTAAAAATAAGTGCTAATGTACCGTTTTGCCCCAGGGGTGGAGTAAAATGGATTACCTTTGAAATGTTAGGAATAAGTAAAAATAAAAGCAATAATCTGAATCAAATATTGTTTATGAGATCAAGATGATAATGAAGATAGTCCTCTTGGTCGTTTTGATTTTTTCTTATTTCCTTGGGATAGACTTTTCTTCTTATTTTTCTTTTTAAACAAAGTTCTCTTGGTCGCCGGTTTTTTCTTCTTTTGTACAAGCTCTTGCTTGTAAGATGAGGAAGTTAAATTTGCAGCCTTCCCACGTCTTCTTGAAACTCTTTTATTGTACTGTGCAACTTTTGGGATGGGTAGAATATTTTCTGGACTAAATTTTTCGAAAGAAAGGGCCGTACTGCTTTATGGAGCTGACAGGGTAGGAGATATCTCAGTGACATATGAAGTTGACGGAATTGAAGCAGCCTGAATGTCGCTTGAAGTTGACGGAATTGGAGTAGTCTGAAGTGTGCCTAATGACAACTAGCATGGTGAATCTTGATGAATGCGGCCAAATTCTGCAGATTGTTCTGTAACATTGCCCTGAAGGCAAATATTAGTCGTTGCCGAAGGCAGGAAGTCACAGTCGTTAAAAACGTTCATATCAACTGGCCACACCCCGCTTTTTTAAAAACCATTAATAGCCATGCTCATTGTTGCAGCATTCACATAAGCTGAACCAAACAAAGAGGCAATCTGATGTAAAGTTATTACTTTTCCAGGATTTGACCTCAACCATTTTCGAATTTCATCTTCATAGTACTTGCTCAAAGATCTCATGAAGGTTACGTCAAGAGGCTGAAGCCTATGAGAGCAATGTGGCGGAAAACAAACCAAAATAACTCCATTTTTACGTGCCATGTCAATTAAGTCTACATTACAAGTATGTGTTGAATGTCCATCTAATAAAAGGAGGACTGGTCTCTCTTCTGATGCCCTTACAAATTGTATAAATTTTTTGAACCACACAAGAAAGAGTTCTTTTATCATCCATCCAGTTGAATGAACTTCGGCAAAACCTCCTGGAGGAAGACCAATCTCGAATTCTTACTTCTTCCTTATTCGAGGAAATATAAGCATGGATGGGATATATGCTCCAGCAGCAGACATGCAGATTTCAGCGGTGACAATTTGTCCTCTTTCTACTGAAGTTATGGTTCCTACTTGTCTACGAACTTTGAGGGCTATAATCTTTGTATGACCTTTAGGGTTTATGGTTAAACCTGTCTCATCGCAATTATAAATTCTTTCTGCTGTGAGTTTATGAGTGTTAACAATTTGAGAGAGAATATTGAAAAACTGTTCGACTGCAACCCTATTGAATCCCATAGCTCGTGCTGCAGAGGTAGCTTCAGGCTTTTTTAAACTTAACCCCGCATGTCGAGAAATGAAATTTCTTGCCCAATCTAATCCTGCTTTCCCATTTTTAAAAGGATGAGTAATTTCATTACGTTCTGCTAATTGGAAGGCAAGGTCATAAAGGTCACTAATTATTAGCCCAAAAAGTTATGCCTCCATTTTAGTTAGATATTGTAACAGTAACGATCAGGAAGTTGAACTTGTTCCTTCCTGATCGTTACTGAAAACACATAAAAACGTCCCACTTTCTTCTGAACGACGAAATCCGGTGCCCTTTTTCTTTTCTTAATTTGACTTGTATTTGTGTTGTAATATAGTTTGTGGCACATTGAACTGCAAAGCTGCCTTTTTACATCCCATAGACCCATTTATTACAGCTTTCACTGCTTCGTCCATGGATATCTCGGGTCATTCTTGCCTCTCCATCTTCCTTTTATAGGTTCGTACCATTCTAAAATTCAACAGAATGGAAGAAAATTCAGTTGTATAGAAAACAATAACGAATAAATTTACACAGAGAGAAAAATCCATTGGCTACCAGAATAAACGCATGTTTGCTGAATGATGATTGTCTGGGAAACAGATGGAACAGTTATCCTTACAAATTATCTGTCATTTTAACTAACCTATATATTCCTAACCTATATGCTCATACTGCAACTTCATATTCTGCCACATTTAAACGCTTAAGCCCCTTGCACAATACCAGGCAACAGGCAATAAGAATAAAAATAGACCAATCACAATAGTATTATTCTTGTAATAGTCGATTGTGATTGGTCTATTTTTATTTTTATTGCCTGTTGTCTGGCATTGTGCAAGAGGCCTTACTGTGATACAGATCCGTCGATATGTCGTAAAAGTTCATGCCGAATCGAAAAAAATGTACAGTGAACATATTATAAACAACTTATTTGCTGAAATGTCACTCCTAACCTCAGAAGTATATTTGTAAAAGCAGCAGCAAATAGAAAGTAATAAATCATTTGTTGCGAATACCAGTATTTTGTAAAATTAGCAAAACCTTTTCTATCAGTGTACTTAGGGCAAAACGGAGTACAACTCCGTTTTGCCCCACTCGTTTTGCCCCATATGTTTCATTAAAGGTTATGATTTTTTAATAGACGAAATTCACGGTAAAATCTAATGACAATAATGGAAATTAATGCTAAATGCAATATCCTAAAATGTTAAATAGGCACAAATTACTTTACCGTATCATTAAATATTTATATCGATATGAATGGCACTGAAAAGTTATAAAGTGTTGCTAAAACAGGAGTTACGTATTACCATAGACATAATTGGACGCAATTGTCCAATTCTGACCTCGGATTCGGATTTAGCGGATCAAAATACGTAAGAACATACTTGTTCGGTTTTAGGCACCGACCACTTTTTTTTATGGGGCTGTGTTATCTTTAAAATGATTCGTCGTATGAAAAGAATGATAAGGTTATATTGAGAATTGTTAACATATTTTGCATTCACGCAAGTTTTGCGCATACAAATGTAGATCGTCTTTTGGAAACCATGTTTAGGGCGGTACAGGAATCTTATATTTAAGACCATCGTAAAATGTCAACGGCAGAGGTATTGCTGCCACACATTCTCGGCGAGAGTACGGAAGATATACAGCCTTCCGGTCAAGCCTACCTTGCCGAACTTATCGTTCACATATTGATCAGCGATGCAGATGCTCTAGACGATAAAGGAACGTTTCCGAAAGGATCCGATATTCCGTCAACTCTATGACGATTTCTTGTCAAAATATGAGGCTCTGGGTCACATGTCGGCTAACGCTTCCCAGTCGAAGTCAGGAGTGCACTTGGACTGCATCCTGCTGTATCATGGCATGCTCAAGCAGTCCGGCACGTCCATCAAGCTGCGAGTCGTCTTCAACGGTTCTTAGAAGACATATGAGGGGCGTTCGTTCAACGATTGTCTCTTGATCGGACCAAGCCTTCTCCCGCGCCTGGCGGATCTCTTAATGCGCTGGCGACATCATCGCTACATCTTCGTAACTGACGTGGAGAAAATATACCGTCAGATTTTGGTACACAAGGAGGACCCCGATCTTCAGAGGATCCTGTAGCGGGAAAGGTTTAGGCGTATCATCTGAACATCGTCACCTATGGCCTACCTTGCGCGCCGTTATTGACCATCTAGTCGCTGTGGAGATTGGCTGACGACGAAGAACCCAGGTTTCCTCTAGGAGCGGCCATGTGGGACGACGTCTACGTCGCTGACATTCTCACTGGAGCTTTTACACTGCGCGAGGCCTTGGAGGTGCGCTGCCAGCTGAAGGAGATATGCAGCGGGCAGGTTTCAGATATTAAAATGGGCAGTTAACCATAAGCAGCTGATTGCGGATGTTCTGGCGGACCAGTGGGCGATGCATGGTGTTCGAGCCTGGCGAGTTACAGAGAGTCACTCTACTTTGGGCTTGGAGTGGAGGCCGAGCGACATCTTTTCCTTCGTGATTCGACCATTCGAGAAGGGTGTTACCACGAAGCGCATCATCTTATCGTAGACTTCTTGACTCTTCGATCCGCTCGGATGGATATCCTCCATCACTGTGAGGGCTAAGTGCATCATCTAAACAACATGGCTGAAGCAAATCGGTTAGGATGAACCACTGCCGGCTGGAGACGTTGCCGCTTGGGAGGCGCTTTGCGTGGAGCTTCCTCTTCTATGTGAACTCCACATCCCGCGAACGATCGGCGCCGAGCTGTCAATCCGCGCAGCGGAGCTTCATGGCTTCGCTGACGCCTCAGTGCTCGTATATACTGCAGTGCTCTATCTAAGGGTGATAGTGGAGAACAATGTGCCCATCACGCTTTTGTGCGCTAAAACTAAAAAGGCCCCGTTGAGGCGGCTTTCGCTGCCGCAACTGGAGCTATGTGCCGCCTCCTTGCTAATGATGCTGATTACACATACTTTGGAGACCTTGGAGATGCCAAGCTCAGCCATTCACCTCTGGACAGACTCAACGGTCATCCTCTGCTGGCTTCAGGATCATCCAGGCAGATGGATCACTTTCATGGCAAATCGAGTGGCAGAGATCTAAAGGCTTCTCCCTAATGCCCGCTGGCATCATGTGCCCAGACGAGAAAATTCGGCTGACTGCGCTTTAAGGGGGATGTCCCCTAGCACATTGCTCGGCCATGAGCTATGGTGACAGGGTCCTATTTTCCTGTGATTTCTGGCAATTGGCCTCCTCACGATTCCGTCGATGTATGCTAGGAGGTGCCAGAGACGCGCAAGAGCACGCTACAGATGGAAAGGACGGAGGAGGAAAGCTAGTTGCTAACTGGACATTCGAGCTTGAGCCGACTGCTGCGGGTCATGGCTTGGATGCGACGTTGAAGCCCGCGTCATCGCTGTCTTGCTTCGGAGGACTCAGTCTCCCTCGCGCCGACCGAATTGTGGCAAGCGGAGGTCATCTGAATCGCCCACGCACAGGCGGTAGCGTACGCGTAGGAGCTGAAGTTCACAAGGACCAAGCAGCCACTGCCGGGACGGAACACACTCCTGAAGCTGGCCCCCTTTCTCGATGAGGATAGATTTTTGCGAGTAGGCAGGTTATTCAAACATGCCATGCTTCGTTACAACGAATGACATCCAATCCTGCCACCAGGGTCACATCTCACGAAGCTGGTCGTCAACGTGTATAATCTTCGCGCATATCACGTGCAGCTCACATTGGAACTTGTCCTCCAAAATTTTTGGTTGCCAAGAGGATGACTGCTAGTAAAACAACATATCCATCGTTGCCTCTTATATACGATGGCGGCGGCATCGCCTCAGTCACTCATGAGCACCTTGCCGAAGGCCCTAGTGTCATCTTGCCGGCCTTTTCTACAGTCGAGAGTGGATTACGCGAACCCGATCCATTTGACAAACTCGAGTGAGAATGGTGCTCACGATGGCATCCGAACTCACGAGACCGATCGTGAAAATTGTACCGCTTCTCGTGACCTGTTCAATGTCGAAATAAAAAAATTCGGCTCTTCTCATTTATTACCGAACGGTCGGAATAGTTGGCGAGGTATCGTGTAGTCGGGCTTTATTCGTTACATTTCCTTTTTTGCATATTACTTTCATTCTTTTATTTTTCTCGACGATTTTATCTTTTCTTTTTACTTTATTGTTTGCGTCAGCTTTTGCGTCGCGTCATTCGCCGCGTTATACGCACTTGCGTTCGGTTTGATTTTTTTTTATAGCGTTTTTGCTTATAGCGTTCAACTATTACGTACTTATAAGGGAGTTTTTGCAATACTGTTTCTCAGATACAGTAAACGTAAATCATGAGTTATTCGCTCAGAAATAACGTTGGCATGTACGCAACTAATAGCAGTTAGGGCAACGTTTACCGTATCTGAAAAATAGTATTGCAAAAACTCCCTATTTTGTGTTTGTTTACTATATTTATGAGCATTATACGCCGATTCATTAATCTTATGTCTGTACAAGGCGGCGTACATAAGTGTATGCGAGGTTTCCGAGCAGCTCAGTTTCCTTTAACCACTTGCGCTGGAAAGACGCACGTCGTAATGCTTTTGTCACAGAATCGTCAACGACGTGGTATGTACGTCGTCATACGATTGTCACAGAAACAAAAACGACGTGCGTAACACGTCGGGTGGGATTGTTTGCCAGACACAAATGCCAAAAAGAATCCACAGCGAAGGTGTAGAGTGTGTACCAAACACAAAAAACGAAGTGAAACTATATGGGAATGTAAGAAATGCCTTGTACCATTACATGTTCCAGACTGTTTCGAGAGATACCACACTTTGCATGATTATTAATAAATAAATTAAATATTTATATTTGTATAATTTTATAATCAATCGACGCTCTATATTCCCTTCAAAAAGCTATTAAAAGTCCTAGGTCGAAAATAAATTAGTTTAGAAAATATAAATCTTTTTCCGATTTCTGTAAGACATCGAACACTGTGTGACGCCTCTCAGCGAGTTACACTGGACCGTTCTGGTGGTACACGCGTCAGTGAATTTTTTGCCAGCGTAAGTGGTTAAGGGCGCACCTGCGTCACCTCGGTCGTCTTCGTGATGACGAACCCTTTATTCGACCTTGTCCAATTAGGACAAGGTCGAATAAAGCGGACGGAATGTTCTGGAGGACGAAGGCGAGGTTCTCGATGAAAGTATTTTATTTTAATGTTAATTTTGAAAGCGCTAGCACTATGTCTTAGTAAGACTAGACACCGTCTTAGAGACAGTGTCATCTAGCCTTAAAAAAGCAGTTGCTCGGAGATAAAGCGCAAGTTGACGTGTATACAAACATGCCGGCAGACACGGAACTGCTGTGCGTGTTTGAGTGATCACGCACGCACGTGCATTGATTACGCTTTGTGATCATAGACATCTGTGTTATTATTAGACTGCTAACTAGGATAAAATATATAGTTCCGAAAGCTATATACTAAACTCATGTGCATGCGTTCTGTAGGTGGTAAAATATTGATATCCAATTGATTGAAATGAAAAAATAATATATGTACACATATGTAACTTCTTATATATATAAATATGATGAATACCGTCCATATTACAACTTTACCATTTACATTACGCATGTGCAGACGTTTACTCACACTATATAATACATAATTTTCGGGGTCTAAAGTTATCTCTAGAAACACGGGAGTTAGCAGTTAGTATAATATAGATGTCTGTGTTTATGACTAGTTTTTTTTTTATCGTGTAAAGATAAGAACATATTAAGCGAACAGTCAATGTATGATGTATGTATTATATTCCTATATTATATTTTTGTATACATTATATGTTGAAATATGATAAAATATTTTATTCTAAATAAAAGTAAAACCATAAAAATCGATAAAGTGTTACATAAATTTAAATTAATAATACTTGACAGAAACGTATGCGCATTTTTACTATTCGCAACGTGCGTATACGTAAAGTTGCGTATATATTCAAGAATAGGGCCCCAGAGTTCTTAAAGAAGCGATCACGTCGCTTATCACATCGCCAAGATCCTGGACAGATACTTGAAAAGAGAGAGTTCGCAAACTCCCAAGGAAACGATCACGCCGGCTCCTGATAGTCAAGGTCCTCGACGGACACTTGGAAAAAGAGAGTTTACCCGTTCCAAACGGAGGCGACTAAAGCCCGCTCCTAAAGTGTGGCAGCAACGCAGAGAAGTTAAATCTAAAGTCGATTCTCACCATAAAGCCTCAACCCAGCAGGGTATATTGGCACCGCCGTCAACTCAGCAGAGTGTATATAGCGGTGGTTCGAATCTATACTCTACTCGCCAAAACTGCACTGGGAAAAGCCTACAACAGGTTGGTAAAAAAAAGGTGCTACAGAGTCGCACAAGACCACACACCAAGGATTGCCACAATCGCCGTTGGGCCATACGAAGGCACGCGGCGCGCTATCGCGCTCGGTTATATCACCCGGGCGGCCGAATCTTAGCTGCGAGCAGCGGAGTCGGTGAGCGCGTCACGTAGCGGCCGCAACGGCACTAGTGGTTACGCGCGGGACATCGGCGGGAGCACCGCGTGCTCGCCTGCTAGAAACTAACGGGAGCCAGGTTATCCGCCACGCAGTCCCGACTCGACGACTATAATAATGCAGGTTATGGCAACGTGACGTAATGTCATTGCTTACACATTTCCGAACATAAATGAACAAGGAAATATAGTTGTGGCCCAATAAAATTATAATTTTAGTTAAATTATTAGGAGTACAAATAAGTTTTCGCCGTTTGACAAAAGATGGCCCCATCAGAAGGTTATGTTGAAATTGTCAGATGTAAAACGTAATATCGTAAGTTTGGACATCTGGTAACAACATAACCTTGAAGTATTAATGACTCCGTATCAGCATCACATAATTTTTTTCGTGCGAAAATGTCAAGTTTTGTGCCGAATAAGCGTCATTTGCGGGAACTTTTGATTTATTTCTTTAATTTGAAGAAATCTGCAGCTGAGGCGCATCGATTGCTTGTAGAAGCATATGGTGAGGCTGCTTTAAGTGAGAGAAGTTGTCGTGAGTGGTTTCAAAGGTTTAAAAACGGTGAGTTTGACGTGGAAGACAAAGAACGTAGTGGAAGGCTGAAAGTGTACGAAGACACGGAAGCATTATTGGAGGAAGATTCGTGCCAAACGCAAAAAGAACTTGCACTTACATTAAAAGTGACTCAACAAGCAATTTCACATCGTTTAAAATCGTTGGGAATGATTCAAAAACAAGGAAATTGGGTTCCATATGAACTGAAGCCGAGAGACGTTGAACGCCGATTTTGCACGTGTGAAACGTGTAACGTGAAACGTGTATTCGACGCTTAAGCTGCATTGTGGATTGTGATTAAACAATCCAATAATGACAGTTGTGACAGTTTGGTTTTCTTGTATTATTAAATTTTGCTTCATCCGTAAACAGGATTTAATCGCGGGATAACCATGTCTTGACCATTTTCGCTGGATTATAATCCCTCATAATTAATAATCTGTCTGAAACATCTGTTTTTGCAATCAAAAATAGGAAAGTTCGCCAGACGATTGACAGACTTTGTTTCTCCTCTGATCAAATATACGCATCAAACGTCTGACAGAACGATCTCGCATTTCTAATCATTTGTTGTTCTTACAGCTGCCTGTGCGCTCGTCAGAAACTTACGCGAAAAAACGGGTGAGTAAAATCAGTCTAATGAGTTGCATGAGTCGAAACAACCGTTCGGCGGGAGTGGCCGAAAATCCCATAAGCAGATATTTCAAATAAATCAGGACTGATAGTGAAGTTTAGATAGAGAAGAAGAGCCGAATCGGCCAGTGCGGAAATGTAACAAAATAATTGCCATGACGATGACTGTGTCAGCTGGGCAAAGTGTTAGTGGCCGTGATACAGACGAATGACCACACTAAGAAACAAATACCTGATTACTAGGAGCAGATTTCTCCAATCAGGTGGCTCAAAATATGCAAAAAATAAAAAAGAAATATGTGTAGACCAATCGCTTGACAGAGGGGCGTGTTGTGGGTGTGCGAAATTTGCTCAGTTGCTTCGGCGCCGCAAACTCCAAAAAGTGAGGGAACAGCCGCGCCGCGTAACGGTTGTCGCCAACACCATCACCACAATATCAAACTTAAAGTAGGGCGCTCGCCATTCGGTATTTTCCCTCTGGCCGAAGCACCCATCCTCGACTCTCAACCTAGGTCCAACTTTATATATAATTACACATCCCTTTCCTGCATTTCGTTAAATTATTTGATTTTATTTATCTATATAATATATATATTTGTCTATATATCCATATCATGCTTGATTTAACAACTATACCACCTGAGGTAATATTTTTTATATATTTTTTTACATTTCATTATCTCTCCTTATCCATCTTAACTTCCCTTTTCCTTACATTAATTGTTATGCTTTTAATCGTTCAATTACGACTCGCCCAGCCCGCTTTGCCGAGGAACCGCCGCAGGCGTCGGTGACGTCGGTAACATCGCTGAGAAAAGTGCGTTGTGAAAAGTGTGCAAAGTTATATTATTTTAAGATTTTAAAGTTATACCAATAGTACGAGTGCCGATTATAGTCGGCGTTCATATATACAAGTGGTCGCGTGAATGCCGATAATCGATGTTCACAATGAAAGTGTCAGTAAAATCTCATAATTTTATAAATTAATACAAGTGATTTTATTTCCGCAGTGATCTCTGGCGATGTGGAACATGTTATGTATTTTTATTTACGCGTGTGCTACTGCGGGAACGCGCAGTACGGGCGCGCGCGTGACAACTAAAATCAGCAGAGTTGATAGGATCGTGCCGGACCATGTCAGCCACGTCAATAGAAGGCTCGTTGGGACCACCGGCCTAAGCAGATTATTCCCTCGCAAAGATATCCATCTCAGGATGTCGGTAAGTCGGATCATTACGTAATAGTTTTTCTTTGCATATATTTTTCTTCTTTGGGCAGTGCCCTGAATATCTAAAAAATTGCCTTTTCTTTTTAAACAAACTGATATAGTTATTTGATGTCTCCCTTAAAACCACGTAACTTTTGTCTGAAATATTTTTCCATATTTTTCCAAATTTTCTTCCATATTTTTCGCGATATTTGCCTGGGGAATTTAAAATGGGGCACCCTATATATGATCCACGTATATATTCATTACGTATTACTGTACGAAGCTTGATATTATGGATAATAATTTTATAATATTAAAATGATAGTTAATTTCTATAAAACAATACTATGTAATAATAAATTATTATAAATTAACTCCTTACCTTAAAACCCTAACAATTAATTTTTACCATAAAACACGAATAATTTTTTTTCTATAGAGTATGCGTTCATTAATAACTTTCTAAGGAAGCGAAATATAAAAAAGATTGAGAATCCTTGCTTTAACGAAACGTCGTACGATAATGTCAAAACAACATCGACAAGTATTTTAAATCCCTTTCATTAATGTTTAATGTTTAATGTTAATGTTTCCTTTTGTGATTTCTCAGGTTGGCAAAGAATGAAATTACATAAAAATATATATTACATAAAATAGTAACCGGCTCGATGTGGTACTCGATGTGGTCCTAAGAAACGAATCCAAGAGAGGTCCAAAATAGCTCTGCGAAAAATTCAAAGAGGGATCGACTTTCTCCTATACTCGCAAATTCTACATTCTTCTTCGTTTTATTGGGATGTAATTTTGTAAATAATAATCGTAATAATTATAAAAAGTAATAATTATAAATAATAATGTAACTCTATAAAATATAATCATAATGGTTCTGAAAACACTATATTCTGTGTATATCTATTTTGCCTCTATTTGTTCCCTGTGCTTTTTACCCTTCCTTCTCTTCGCAACGTCCTAACTCCTAGCTGTTATATTAAGACTAAAATGGACTGGCACTCGTATAACTATAATAAATAATATATATTAATAGCTCGCGCGCATCACAAATTTATCCTTAGTTTTTAGTGCAGCCTCGCCAAGAGTTTTTAAATTAAATATTTTTTAAAATAATCAACGTATATTTCTTCCTGTAAGATATTATGGCTACACGAGTGAGGCTACGTAGGTACTGCGTGCTAGGCGTCCACAGTGCGACACCAGGAGCAGGAAACCGAGAAGCAGAAGGTAGTATACGTCAGGCGCTCGTATGTATACGCTATATATATTATATCTAGGTATGTCACACACACTATTCGTGTTTGACGGGACAAACTTTTGACAGACTTTGGAATTGTTGACCAATTGAAATTTAAACATTCATAGCCTATAAATATTGGTTAATCTAGCAGTAAAACTATATCTAGTTGACTCTCTCATTATAATGATACATGCATGTAACAAGTCAAACGATATGCAACCGCATAAAAAGGTGGAAAGCAAGCATTAATACTGGACTATATATTAGATTTATTCATTCTTATAATAATTATGTACACATGAAGGACTATATGTAGTCCAGAAATACAGATTTGTACCTAATATTTAATCATTTTTCCCTAAGTTTTTGCTAATTACACTGACTTACGATTTTCTACACATAATTTCGTTGTGATGTATCTCTGATTTAGTATTTTAGTCTATCTTTCAATTGCATCTTAATATACTGCGTAATGTTGCATCTGCCAATGTTATATTATATCGATGCGGTAACAGCTAAGATCTTTTAATTGTTACTGAGAAATATCATCTTTATAATATATATGAAGAACAAAGTCATTATTGATGTCTTCCCTAAACAGGAATTATACCTATTTAACAAATAATTTAACTAATGTTGCATCTTATAATAGCTATTTATATATTATAATTACTTTTAAATATAGTAAATTTATATATCCATACAAATGCACCATTTTAACTTTCTACTTTTTGACATTTAGTTCAAGATATAAAAATTATTCTATGATATAATTTATCAGGTCTTGAAGAATATGATAAAAATCAAAATTTCTTGCGGCAGTTTCTAATGTCTCTACGAGGGGAAGATGGTTCATTTTGCATGCATGTCAATGGTGAAATTGACATGCGTGGCGCATACTGTGCTCTAGTTTCTGCAAAATTAACAAATGTATACACTCCAGACATGTTTAGAGGCATAGAAGAGTGGATAGCCAAGTGTCAGACATGGGGAAAAAATTATTATTACTAAAGTTAATAATTAAATAATTATTAAAATTAATTATGAATAAATTTATATATATTATTATTATTATTATTATTATATTATTATATTATTATTTATTTATATTTATTTTAATAAATATTATTTATATATTTATATTAATATTTTATATATATTATTATATTATTATAAATAATTTTTCATGTCTTTTGTATGTCGCCCGTTTACAATATATAATTTATTATTATTGCTAATAAATGTTTATGTTAAATTAAGATGTTAAATTTGGAAACACACGTATGCATATGTCAAAACACACGTACGCATATGTCAAAACGACTCCGCGAACTCGTGGACTTATTACTTCAGCAGTGTTACTAATACGCAGAAATTTAAATTGTGTTGCCTAGGGGTTTTCGTTGCTACCAACATTTTCCCCATCTAGTTTTCGGAAAAATGTCGGGTAACCCAATTGAAATTTAAACATTCATAGCCTATAAATATTGGTTAATCTCGCAGTAAAACTATACCTACCCTTCCTCCACCCTTCTCACCCTACCCGGGTGAAACAAAGATAGGTGGCTGATTTCCTCAGTTCGCATGATTTCTTGATACACGGACTTGTACACCGTCTGTGAGACCGACTTTTAAATAACAAATGGAATTAAATGATATAACAGAGTGCTGAACAGAGTGTTTGTTATCTGCATAAACTTTTACTTCTAACTATAGTGCTTACGTACAATAATGTTTATGGCTTCGGAAGATGTCGATTTTGTTTCGTCGGTCTGACAGATGCACGAGTCAAGTAAGATTAATAATAGTCATATCTAGACATGACAAAGAAAGATCAATAACTTTTAGAGAGATATATCTTGAGTTTTTCTATACTTTAGTATTTCGTGTCGAACAAAACTCGTAAGATCAACATAAATATTTCGATTGAATTTATCCTTGAAAAGCACGGTGTCATGATCGATATGTCATTAATCGTCTACTATAATTTTTTCGTTCGACAGTGAAGGCATACGAACGAGCGAATCGTTTGAACATGAGATAGCCGAAGAGAATCGCAGCCGGATCTCGTACGTGGAATTTGGCACTCTCGCAGTTGCAGTGATCGCATGCCCCGCGTGCCATAATTAATACTGCAGGAAGGGCGGTCGAGAAGAGCATACACTTGCGGCTGTCGCGCGTACACATCCTTAGGCGTCGAAGATAATAGATTAGATATAATAATAGATTCAGGTAACAGCCACTGCATCGCTCTAGACGACTTAATTTCATTTCCATAAATACATTTAATTGGAATATTATAATTTCGCGTAACGTACGGCGTTCAGTCTCATCCTTGTTTTGATGATAATTCAACTTTAATCAAATGTTGCTGCCAACAAGCTGAGCATAAGAACAGTTCCATGTACCGTTCAAGGATTCTTCAATAGGATAATAAATGAACACGACGACAATTTCTCGAAACGAAGAGAGAGAGAGAGAGAGAGAGAGAGAGAGAGAGAGAGAGAGAAAGAGAGAGAAGTATATAGAGGCATATAAAAAGCCGCAACGACGTCAAATCGTCGTGAGGATATTAACCTTTCCGCGAATTCATCATAACGCTAACGAGCTCAGAGCGCTTATCGTCTGATATCCGCTCCACATGACGAAATAAAGTCCCACGAAAACGATCGCGAGCACGTCCATAGAATTCATACGGTGCTTCCACCGCGATGAGTTATTGGCTTTTATAAAACGACATTTAGGCGAGGTCTTCGTACCAGCCTACTGTTCGCGTCCGCTCGTGTGCGCTTTACATTTTGCCCCAACGGGTTTCTAGCCGGTGATATCTGTTCCGCTGGCACGGGTGAAAATGTAATAAGAGAGACCGGACAGAACAGGAGAACAGGAGAAGATGAGAGAATTTGGTAATAACTGTGCGTCTTACCGATCATTAAAGTATTATTTGTCCTGAGAATCGTATTCTTCGATCTATATCTACATATCTGGATCTGTATTATCTGAATCACGTAGCGTGGTCTTTATTTTATATCGTTTTGTTGCGTTGGGGGATATTTGACTGGATACCAAGTTAATACGAGAAACGACTACGTATATCGGTGTGGCACACGTATAATTGGATACTCGGAAAGCGAGCGTTGCACATTATTATGTTACTGGTTTCGGCATATCATCTTATGTCGGTTTCGAAAGATAAAAGGACGAGTACAAAGTTCGTCAACTTCGACGATAGACACTGCGTAATGTTGCATCTGCCATGTTATATTATATCGATGCGGTATAGTGCATTGTATGAATGTTCGTGAGAGAGAGAGAGAGAGAGAGAGAGAGAGGGAGAGAGAGAGAGAGAGAGGGAGGTGAGAGAGAGAGAGAGAGGAGAGAGAGAGAGAGAGGAGAGAGAGAGAGAGAGAGAGAGAGAGAGAGAGAGAGAGATGTATATAGAGGCATATAAAAAGCCGCAACGACGTCAAATCGTCGACGTCGTGAGGATATCAACCTTTCCGCGAATTCCTCATAACACTAACGAGCTGAGAGCGCTTATCGTCTGATATCCGCTCCACATGACGAAATAAAGTCCCACGAAAACAATCGCGTGCACGTCCGTAGAATTTATAAGGTACTTCCACTGCGATAAGTTATTGGCTTTTATAAAACTATGTTTAGGCGAGGTCTTCGTACCAGCCTACTTTTCGCGTCCGCTCGTGTGCGCTTTACATTTTGCCCCAACGGGTTTCTAGCCGGTGATATCTGTCCCGCTGGCACGGGTGAAAATGTAAGAAGAGAGACCGGACGGAACAGGAGAACAGGAGAAGATGAGAGAATTTGGTAATAACTGTGCGGCTCATCGACCATTAAAGTATTATTTGTTCTGAAAGTCGTATTCTTCGATCTATATTTACATATCTGGATCTGTATTATCTGAATCACGTGGCAGTGTCTTTACTTTATATCGTTTTGTTGCGTTGGGGGATATTTGACTGGATACCAAGTTAATACGAGAAACGACTAAGTATATCGGTGTGGCACACGTATAATTGGATACTCGGGAAGCATACGATGCACATCATTATGTCACTGGTTTCGGCATATCATCTTATGTCGGTTTCGAAGGATAAAAAGACGAGTACAAAGTTCGTCAACTTCGACGATAGACACTGCGTAATGTTACATCTGCCAATGTTATATTATACCGATGCGGTATAATGCATTGCATGAATGTTCGTGAGAGAGAGAGAGAGAGAGAGAGAGAGAGAGAGAGAGAGAGGGAGAGGGAGGGAGAAGGAGAGGAAGAAAGAGATAAGGAAAGACATAGGAGACATAGGCTCCTGTTCGTCCGCGTTGTTGCTGCCGCTGTTGCTGCAGCTACATCTAGGTTCCCAGCCGACGAGGTGGTGCGTGAGGAGTGCAAGGGGAAGCGTTGGTCGAAGCAGAGCCTTGGCTCGCTTCCCCCTTCCCCTGAGGGAGCGGTGGTAGAAGACGAGCTTAGGCTCGCGCTTCCCCCCTCCCTCAGCACCCCTCGGGGAAGATGACGGCTAGCCGTCTGGACTCGGGACCCCGATCGCAGTTACATGGCTCCGGGGCCTCGAGTACAGTCCCTTCGTAGCGCCACCCGGGGAGGTTTTAGCCGGTAGGAGTCCGGCATAACCCTTCACCCTTCTCCGAGTGTGAGGGGTATCCATGATGGATTTCCTCCTCGTCAAAAAAAAAAAAAAAAAAACTACATCGAGGTGCAAAGAGACCATTACTCTTGTCCGATGCATTTCCTGCTGCACTCGGCTCGGCGTTAAGCAACGACGTCGATACGCGCTTGGCTCATTCATCATCGCAATTAACGTGCATTAACTTGCGATGATGTCCTGTTTGTGCAGCGTGCACGTCGGCATCTTATACAAAATAGATCAGGTTGTATAAATCTTATAGAAGAGGTAAACGCCGTAGCCGAAGGATAGTCGGGGGCTTCGTCGCTCGGGCGTATGTGTGTTGGATATCGATCTTGCAGACACGGACACGAGTTGTCCTCATTTCTCCTTTTGCATCACCGTTCGTTGAAGAATCTGGAGGAGTGTAGGCGATGATTGGCAAACAGTTACGTCACCATTAAAATTTCCGGGCCTTTTGTTCTGGCACCAAGTCTCCCTCGGTTTTCTTTCGGATTGTGCGCGCGGTAGCAAGAGCGCACGACGCAGCAGGTTACGCCGATCTACCTCTAATGGCGAAAACAACAATAATTGCCGAGCGCGCCGCTTGATTGCCAAGCTCGCGTTTGCCGTCCTCTCTTTTTCCCCTCACCACTCCCGCCGTTGCTGACTTTTTTCTCTCACTGAGCATTCGTCACACTTTCCGACCCTCCACGAATGCGCGATTTCTTGCCCTTTCGTACGAGAGCATCGCGGAGATTTATTTCTCATGCAACTATCGCATCCCACTACTCACACTAGAGAACAACCTCCTCTCAGTCCTCCTCTCCTTCTCTTTACCGTCGCCAATCTTCCCCTGGGGCGTCAAACAGGACAATGATGTTGCGTTGTTATCTTTGTGGTTTATACTTTAATTCGATTTTTACCTAAATTTCTAGCTAGATTTCTGACTAAAGTAAAACTTTTCCGATGATAAATCGCACGGGGGAACAAGGGGGGGAGAGAATCGCGAGATCAAACGGTAGCATTATGCGAAATTCTTTTTGGCACCTCGAAATTTGTAATACCTCGAAATACGCTTGAAATTGAATTTCTTCACCCTCGGCCGTATTCGCGCATGGTCAAAGAGAAAGAAAGAGAGAGAGAGAGAGAGAGAGAGAGGAAAGAAGGGGAGAGAGAAAAAGAGCAAGAGAAAGAAACAGAGAGAACTTGTTCCGCAGGCAATTTCGGTGCGTATCGAATAGACGCAAACTCGATCTGTCGATGGAGAGCGCGATGGAAAAAGCAAATAATAACTTTATTAGCAGCCGTGTGCGTCGCATATAGGAAGATCGTCGCGCTCGTTACTAAGTATAATAATCCCGTCAATTACTTTCAATTCCGTCTCCATGGGCAAAATCGATTAGAGTTAATGACAAAAATGGGAGAGTCATTTATTTAATGGTATCGTGCCTCTACCTAGTTACTCCTTTCCCCATCACCGAGAAAGCGGAGACTCGGGGCTGCTCCTGCTCTCCGACTCACGTCATGCTCGGTCCTTTTCTTCGATCACTCATACCGGCACGCCGTCGATGATCGAAAGCGCGGCCAGATCTCTTTCTTTCCTCTTCCATCTGATCTCTCTATCTCCCTCTATCTCTCTCTTTCGCAGGACTCGTCTCCGCACAGCTTCCTATACGCGGGAGGGAAGGTGCGCGGCGTGTTGCTTATAATCGATATTCAATCGCAATGAACTCATAATTGTGGCCGCATAGCTGTACGGCTACTTGTGAAATTCCATAGCTTCTATCGTGGGTCTATATACGACAGTTAACCACCTCCGCACAATTTAAATATCGTGCCAAACGATTATTCAAAATATTCCGATAGAATGTTATCGACTATATATTCAGTGGTAGGCTGGGGCACCCTCCATTATGCGCGGCGGAATTTATCTGTCGCTGCTAATAACAATCGTGCCGTCGCACAAATTCTTTTCTCTCTCTCTCTCTCTCCCCATCCTCGTTCTCTCTTTCTCTCTCGTTCGTTTTCCACCGTACTCTCGTTTTCTCCTATCTTCGCTTTCACTCTTGTTTTCTCCCTCGCCTCATCCTCGCGTGCTCTCTCGCTTGCTCCCTCGCTTTATCCTTCTCTCTCCCCCTTTCTCTCTTTATCTCTCCGTTTGTCACTCACTCACTCGCTCGTTCACGATGAACTGTAAGATAAAACGAGACAGGAGAGTAGGAGGAGGAAGACTGACTGTACATTTTTTTAAAAAATCGCGGTACATAAAAATGAAGAAAGCAATTTTTTTAACCAAAAAAATAGAAAACGAAGATAAGTCTACAACGATATAGAAACAGAGACGATGAAATAAATATTTGCATAACGGTGGAAAATATGAAAAATAATACGAAAGTTCGTGCAATATATATTCGGGATGCCCGGGCTTTGCTCAAGGGAATATAGTCTACCTCGTTTATTGATCCGGCTACTCGAGCATGCGTACTGGTGTGTGAGGTGCGCGAAATCATACAGTTCCAACGTGGAGGTGCATAGTGCACTACCGGTATATCTTTCTTAAATTGGCTTTAAAAGTGATTAGTTGTCATTATAATTATCATTAAAAAAGCAAATTAATTTCAAATAAGCAGAAAATGAAAAAGACATTGAAAAAACCGTTGAAACAGTGAGAACAATTAATCAATACACCGGCAGCCTGAAATTAGAAGAGCATTCCTGCCAACTTCTACGGATCGAAGTCTATGGATCGGAACAGGATCAAGATGGTCGGTCATATCTTGTTTAAACATTCTTCATTATCGTTCCGTCCGTTTAATAAATAAAAAAGTAACTCGTCATAAATAGAACACGAAACGACGTCGACGAACAAGATGCCTCGACCCTCCTGCGCAAATAGATAGCCAAGTAAGTACTCGATTTATACAATGTTTAATATTTTGCATGACGCAGAAGGATGCACAACGGTTTTCCCGGTTAAATAAAATATAAACTGCGTAGGTAGGTCAAGCAGCCGCCGTGGCGGTCGTGATTATCAGCGCCAAGGTCACACTTGACCTTCGTCGTCACGGTAGTAGTTGAAGGTCAGAGACGTGAATAGAACTCGAGTAGAGTTGAACAGCGAGACGAAACTTCATTACTCTTGTCATCTCTCGCGCGAACGAGCAATTATCGCGCACCTACCCGCTTCGACTTGACCTTCGTCGACTCGCGAGCGAGTACGCACTTCTTGCGACGCTGGATATAAGCGTATTTTGCACGCTGGTGTAATGAAGTGTCGCTTTCGATTCTCGTATCCCGGCATGTGGGTGCGGTATACATCGTGCATTAGGCGCGAGCCGCCGTTGTATATCATAACGCTCTCCAGCTCACGTGACCAACGCGCGGCCGAGCCGGTCGAGCCGCGTCCTGCGTCGCGCTCTCGAACGTTAAGGCGAATTCACGCGGTCGTCCATGTGGATTTCGTCCCGCGCGCGAAACCGCACTGGTTCGTTTATATCCCAGCGGAACGGTGGACTTGGTAGACGGTCGATAATTACCGGAAGCCGCGATCGAAATAAACATCGGACGGCTACAAAAGAGGCGCGGCACGCTCCATTTGTAACCTCGAGCGGCTAATCGTTTTTTTTTTTTTTAACGCGTCCTTTTGTTGAATTATCTGGCTCTCGCGGCCGGATTATTTTTTTTTTTTTCGACCAACGTTGGGCAATTGAGACATCAAAATAATACGCGTGAATATCGGGCGTAAGAATAAGATTAATAAAATAAATAAAATAGAGAAGAATAAATCAATAAAAAAATTCACGCAACTTGGACGTTGCTAAAGGAATTTTCATTTTACTCAATTTGCGTGAGCTCTCTCATCAACTCATCTTTTTCTTTTTCATTCGATCGAATCTCTGAAAGGCTCCAATAAACACTGGCTGTGTCGATTGAAATATCGTTCTCGCGAAAATTTGGCTCGGCAATAAAAGAGAGAGAGAGAGAGGGGGGAAAGGGGGGGAGAGAGAGAGAAAGAGAGAGAGAGGGGGAGAGGGAGAAAAGGATAATATCGCTCTTCTTCTGTTCGTGCTCAGTCACGTGCGAAAACGAGTTTGTCGTACAATCAAGAGCGGAGCGTACAATTTCGCCTTAAGACGCTCGTCGTCGTACGTGAGGTGTACCTTACGGCCCTGGCCACTCGTACAGTATTCCTCAACGATACATTTCCGGTTTGGTAGCATCGTGCGTCGTATAGCTCGCGTAGCAGCACGTGCTACCGCCATCCCTCTTTCTCGTACTCGTCCTAATCATCTTAGTCGTCGTTGTCGTCGTCATCTGAGTCGACTACGTAGTTGCGATTTACAACGGTTATTGCACGGTAGACACGTTAGCTACTATCGAGCCTGTATCCGGCACTTCGACGTATTTATGGGCACTTCAGGACGACGTAGAATTTCCTCGTACGCGGAGAAAGAGAGAGAGAGAGAGAGAGAGAGGGGGGGGAGAGGGAGAGGGAGAGAGAATCAATCTCGCTGGTCTTAACCATTGTGCGAGCGATCCCCCGCGATATATGAAGAAAAGCCTCACGACTCGATAAAGAGGGAAAAAGGGGATTCTCCGCGTCCGATAATTACTATCAAATAGATCGTATACAACGCGTCGCGCGGCGGATTCTCGCGAGATAGTATCGATTCCGTCTCACATTTCAGCCGGCTGTTTTTCGAAGACTATTCCTTTGGCCGACCATATAACCGTGAGGTAGCATTCGCCATGCCTCAAACCGGTCCTACCCTCGTCGCCCATTGTGATATTAGCGCGTTTAACTGCTTGTATTCGAATCCGGGAATAGGAGTGACTCACTATGAAAAGGAACGTTAGACACGGATGTCGACGCGTCTCCAACTCCGACTGCGACTCGTCTACCTGTGCAGAATCGCGGACGCGCCGGTCACCTCGGATAATGTCAGGTGCGAATGTCAGCGGAACGTTGCGGCAAATGCCAATGGCGTTTTCCCGATACTCGCCGTGCAGAGTGTCGTGCGTGACTTGAGTACACGTAAGCACACGAGCACGTGCGTGCGGCTGCACAAAATGTCGCGTGATTTAACAGTTCGGTGTTTTATCGCAATTTATCGTTAATTTCGCCGTAACACCGCACGCGTGGCCGAGGCTTAATTGATAATATAAATTCCCCGTTTGACTCGTGCGATAGCACAACGCGAGATTCATGATAATTATGAAGATTTACAGTTAGGGTCTTACAATTCGTGTCTCCTTTCTTCGTCTTTCCTTGTTCCTTGAGCCGTATTCATTCGCGACTGTTACACGCAACTCGATGACGTAACTACAATATATTACAATACAATATCGCGTCGTCTCCGGTGGCCCTTTTTCCGCTTGATAAGCGGTTGATGTGATTATAATTTCAACGGGGCCGCAGGAAATATCCCTTTCTCTTTTCTTTAACGCTGTTGAGAGCTGTCGACATTAAATATAATTTGCCCAGGTACACAGAAATTCCACTCGCGCTAGCAGCTCTTTGTTCTTTCTCCGGTAAATATTTACCTATGGGGACTACCTCCCGATCTTAAAAATTGTAGTTATATGTTATGTAGATCAACACTCTGAGTCATCATGCTGGAAGGTTTTAGCCGGCGGTCACTATTTGTTAAAAAGTTATTAACAAAAAAAGTTTTATATATGCGTAAGTTGTAACTGCGTTCAACACGGCGCGCTACACGTGTCCCACCCCATCTTACCTACCCCCCTCACCCTCTTCCCATTGTTTGTTTTTAATTATTTTCGTAAATATACTGCTTGTATTATAATGGAAGGGTGGGTAAGGGAATAGGATGTAGGTGAGGGGACGGGAGTGAGGTAAGGGCGAGAGTAGGATGAGAGACAGGACGGGGTGGGATGGGGAGTCAAGGGCGCGTAGCGCGCCGTGCTAAACGCGCTTACAATTTACGCATATACCAAATTTTTTTGTCTTGAATAATGATTAAATAATTGAGTAAAATTTTGTCTTGTGTATGCAAAGGACAACAACACCAGACACGAAAATAAATAAAGATAACATATGTTCAGCGAAAGACGCAATATGAAAAGACAAACTCTACATATAGCATCGGAGAATCATATTTTATTTTCAAAATTTCTTTCATTAATAATTTCTTAATAAACAGTGACCGCCAACTAAAACCTTCACAGCATTACTCAGAGTAATGATTTACATAACATACGTGTGAAAGAGACGAACGGTCTCTTTCACACGCGTATATTTTGGCCTCGCTATCCTCCAATCCTCCTCTCGAACCCTCCCTGTCTTTTCTCGACTTCATACACATACATATCACGGCGCGTTGTCAAGCAGCGCGCGCGCTTTTTCCGCGATTGCACAATGCCGGGCATCTCTCCGGCGAGCTCTTCTTGAATACGTCTGACGTAACTCTTATGTATCCTCGTGTGCACGCGGCCGCGCTTATTGCCCACCTCGGTACATCGCGCGTACTTAATGCACCGGAGGAGAGACGAGGAGAGGAGGGGATGCACCGGATAACCATCAAAAATTTATTGGCGTTTTTCCTCTTCCACTACTCGGAGTGAAATTTATTCATACAGAGACTCTCTGTGCATATGACGATCGTCGCCGTTCTTTGATTTTATGGACAACGTCGAGAAACGTAGAGCAAGGGAGAAAAGAAGAGAAATCGTTATTCAGTGTATGTTGCTTCGTCATGAACGAAGTATAAGAATATTAGAGAAAATCGATTTAAAAACATACTGGCCTATATTTCAGCGTAAATATATACATATATCCATTTATCGTATCGCGTTGCACACTACATTAAACACCATTTAGAATACTTAAAATTACAAATTTGTTTTTTCCTACTGTTTCAGCAGAAAGTAAAAAAAATTTAATTAAAATTTTTTCCGGACAGTTTCGCAATAATTTTCTCTCCTTTCTCTATAAAGGAACATTTACGTAACCAATAAAAATAAGGAACAGTAAGAATAAATGATAATCCTCTTAAAAAAAGATTAAACAATCTGTGTAGAGGAAATTTATATTAAAATCAATAAGATTTACATCATACATATAAATTTGAAGAGCTTCTGAGGAAAGTACATCCACTTATTCAGAAAAAGAGTACTTTAATGTGGCAAATTTAATTTTCGCGAACTATTAGAATCCGTGCGGGGCTATAAAAAAAAAATATATATATATATCAGACGCGACAGTGGCCACTCGAATTTTTCCCTCGCTTCAAATTCGCCTCCCTTCGTTTAAAATTTTTTGTGTCTCGGGAAAAAAAAAATACGTTAGTCCGTGACGGTTGTTCAATTGATCAAAATTTGTTTCGAAGTTTACCCGATACATGTGCAACTGTACAGGAATTCGGCATTCGTCGCCCATACAACCGTCGTTCGCGCGAATAAAAAGTATACCGTGGCATGCTTTGACGCAACAACAAAGAGCGTTACCAGAGGAAGCGGAAAACCGGACTGTGAGACTCGACAAAAGAAACGCCCCAATGCATAGCCGTTGCTCGCTTGTAGGCGCACCCTATTGAAAATCAATACCGTTTGTCAGTGAGCTTTTCGGCTCGAGTTTTCGGCCTCGGGTTAAAAGACAAATTAAAAAGCTCGCACGCATCATATATATGCGCATACAGTGAAAGGCCCCTTCGCCCTTCGCGTATGCATTGACGGATACGAGACTCGCGTTCGCAAGTGGGTAAGCGGCCGGGTGAACGGGCGGCCAAGTTGGCGCACGCATTTCTGCACGCATGCATGCACACGGGCTTGCAGTCGGCTGTTTACGCGTGTGTGCCGTCTCGGCAGAGGATGCGTCCTCGCGGCTTCTCGGTGCGCCGCGCTTATAAACGTTCGTTTGCCGGCGCGGCTCCGCGGTGGCCTTGGCTCAATGTCGCATACTTGGCGGCCGCCACGCCGCGGCGCGGCGCGCCGCGCACACATGTGTCGGCCACGTTCCACGGCCCGTGCCGTGTGATCCTCGCGAGCGCACTCCTGTGCGCTGCGTGGCGTGGCGTGAGGCGCGGATCCGGTCGTACGCGCGGCGTACGCACCGCGGCAAGGCGACGCGAGATATAACCGGCGGGTCACTCGGAGGTCAGCGCGCGTGAAAGAAACTTCGCCGCGGCGGTGGCAGATCGACTATGGCCGCTATTTGTCACGACCGCCGCGGGAGCTGAGACGCGCGTTGCTTAGACCCATTTATTAATCCTGAGAACGCTCGGCTTCTTTTCTTGCCTTCCTCTCTGTCTCTCGCCCTCCTTCTTCTGCCGCGCCATCGCCTGCTCCTTCCGCGGTTCCACGCGCCACTTTCGCGTACGTGCAACCGGTCTTTTTCCCGTGCATCTATTAGGTCAAGCGTTGTACGTGCGTAAGGCAACTTCTCTCTCATCAAAGCCGAGACCAACAGGGGGATCGATCGAGCGGCTTAGTATGTTCCGGATAGATAACCATTTGTTGTCGGGAATTTACGTGCGAACGTGCTGGATTCTCCTCGCGAGGGATTGATATCGATGACAAACCGCGCCCTCGCCTTCGAACAATCGTCGCATCGTCCTTGTTTGCTCAGCACGCGGTAGCGTGCAAAGAAATGGTATGGGAAATTACTACAATATCAGCTCTTTCCTGCGACCGTAGCTATCCCTTCGGTCATAGGTGATTGAAACAAGTACGCACAGAGACGATATCTCCCGCGCGCGCTACAAACGGTTAATTCTCGCGAGAGGACGTTTATCGTCGGCGAGAGGAGCGCGCATTTTTCTTAATCGGCGCACGGTCGCCTTAGGCACGTTCGAGGAAGCGTTGCTTATTTCATCCATTACGACGGCATCGATCATTCTAAATAATAGCCCGATAGGGCGGGCCGGGGGTGGCGGGTGGTAAGCAGCTAGCGAGGACGCGACGCGACTCGGTGCTTTTTTCTTTTTTTTTTTTTTTTTTCCGGAAAGAAGTGATACGGGCCGGCCTCTCCGTAAATCTGCGTGATTTATTCGCGATCGGACGAGCGAGCGAGCTGGCGAGCGAGCAGACGGCCGATGGAGTTTTAATTTTACGAGCGGCTGCGATTTTTCATATTGCCGCGCGTCTCCCGGTACGGACGCGCCGCGCACGCGAGGATATTCGAGCGAAAGAGCGAAAGGCTGGACCACCGGCGCACGTCATTAACATACCGATCGCCGAACCGCAGACGCGCGCGCGCGCGCGCGCGCGCGAGTCGAAACTGTGTATACGCGCGGCGCACGATAATTACGAGCCGAGCCGAGGGGATTCTTATTAACCGTCGTTAATTCTATGCCGCTGGAATAGTAGCAAGAAGCGTTTATGACGTAGGCCGCGGCATACCTGCGAGAGTCCGAATCGCCGAGCCGCTGCCGCCGCCGCCGCCGCCGCCGCCGCCGCCCGGGAATAATCACGACGCAAAAGTCACGGCTGCGTCCGCGCTGGGTGGCGAGGGGGCGAGCGAATCGATAGGACGTCGACGACGTCACTTGTCAACGGCGTCAATTATGTCCGCGAGTAATTGAAATTACTACGGAAGAGGAATTGATTGGAATCAAACAAAGGAGGAGGAGAGAAAGCGCTGGCCGACGAGATTCGTATTGACGAGATGTAAATTGGACCGTTTCAATTAACTGCGAGCATTTAACGTTAACAATGTCGGACTGATCGGCGAACCGGTTGTTCCCTGGATTTCCTCGATTTCGCAATATGCATTAACCGGCGTCAATCCTTGAGGACAAATTTCCACGATATTCGCATCGGTGCTTTCGCTTCTTCATTACACACGCTGCAGAAATCAGTAATTTGCATCACCGTACTGGTGATGCAAATTACTGATTTCTCAGGGCTCGCGAGAAATATTGTTTACAATAGAAGTTGATGCGATTAGCAAAAATAACATTATTACCGCCGGGTTGTTATTCATACAATACACAATATCCCGCTTACCTGTACGTGACGCGAACCGTCGGCGACGCGGCGACGCGACGCTTCCGAAGCCGAGAAAATTTAATGAGAACAATTCCATGGCTCCGTTCCGTCCGTTCCATCCGCAGCGCCGCTGATTTCTCGGGATTGCGACCGTCGATGTATCTCTTTTTCGCGGGTACTTCGGTGCCCGATCTGGAAATAAGGAAAAAATGAGTATCGCCGACGGCTCGGGCCGAGCCGCGGGCTTTATTACTACTGTCTGCATTTCGCGGCAGGTCCTGTTGCGCGCATTCGCAATCGTATGCACATAACCGGATGCACATGCGGGGAGCGTGAAATAATTATAGATCTATCGCTTTGGGCCTGCCAAATTACAGGTCTCCAAGGCGCGAGGCGTACGCGCGAAATACGCCGCGGTGCAGTTATTCTGCGTAGCCGTAAAACACTGTTGCGCGCAAGCGATCAAGCAAAAGCAGATCGGGCGGAAACGGTAGTGCGCACAGATTAGGGCGGTAGAGCGCGATCCGGTTTGGCTCATCCCGGAATGCATCGCGCGCGGGACGTTTTACTCGTCTTATATTCGGCTCGTGAAAGACGCTTGATTACGCGCTCGCGCGATTACGTGAGATCCACCTCGGGACATATGCCGTCTATCCGTGTGCGCGCGCGCGAGTTTGCGTGCAGTTCAAACGATCCTAAGCGCTGCACGTAATTTCTCCATCTAATTTTCGCGCGTGTAATTTAGAAGATGTCGATGTAATAGGACTGTAGTACCACTTATCGCTCTCGCTCTCTCTCTCTCTCTCTCTCTCTCTCTCTCTCTCTCTCTCTCTCGTGCTGCGCCGTGAGAAGAGCTTTAATTACCGCGAGTTTAATTATCGCTAATAATAAAACTTTTAATTATCGCGGCTTATGCAGCTAATTTATTTACACCGCGCCGGCGTGATTATGATGTTATTGTTGCGATTATTTGGCGATTATGTCGCAACGTTCGCGAGAGGAAAAGGGGGATGGGAAGGAGGAGTGGAAGAGAGCAAGAAGAAGATAGACTTCTCATTAGCCGGTTAGCAAATCCGCCGTTTAACAGCCGACGAGAGCGGCAACGACGACACGCTCTAAGTGTCCCGTTGCCGTGAGACGATTCCTATTCACTCTCTCGCCGATATATTAACAGACGCTCGCGTACACGGCGACGTAATGTATAGGTGAATGGAGAACCGGCACACAGACGGGAAACTTCCGCAGCTCCATTTTTGCGACGTAGAAATTGCCGTTTCACCGTAACGACTACGCGAGACGGAGCGCGCTACTCATGGGGGAGAAGGAAGGACGAAGAGAGAAAGGGTAACGCAGTCGACGACGGGGACTTCCGCGCGAGGAATTATCAATTAGGACCCTCGTTAACGGTATCGCGATTGTGTACGTCTCGCGTGCGAAAAAAGTGGAAATCGAGCAACCGTGATAATTACGTCAGCGGCGATCCTACCGGCGATTCGCGACGCGTGACGCGTGAGAAGCCGTCTCTAGCGAACGGTAAGCTGCTCGTTATCGCGCGTACTCGAAAATCGAACGGCTGCTTGTCGCGACACGCAACAATAGTTCACAAGAGGCGCGCTCTCGTGTCGCTTCTCAGGCTCGCTTTAGCTGGCAGCAAACAGCCGTGTCATCGTGTCAGTGCCTAGCACCTTCGCGACGTTGCGTTACGTAACTATAGTTCACTATGTCAGTTCCGTCGTATTCGAGCGTACACCAACTTACAAGCACAGAGTCCGCGTGCACGAAAGTCCTTAACCCTCCACACCCGCGCGTCTCCGCATACGTTTGCTCGTACCGCCGCGCAATTTAGCGCACGATCACGTGTAAAGTGAGCTAACAAGGCCTCGCGTTTCTTGATACTCTCCTCTCTCTCTCTCTCTCTCTCTCTTACTTATTATTCACGACGATATTCCTTTCGTCAAATCGCTTCTACTTCGCGTATACGCGTGAACGAAAACGTGTCGCGTCGATTCGAGCGTCGTGGTCGCGTATTAGGCAAGAATTCCAGCCTTGATCGAATGCAGGCGATTGATAGGGCTCCTCCGTCGCCAATTTATCAACGCGCACGTGTTGCATTATTTATCATATGCGTCGTTCTATTTCCGAGGAGGAGATAGCTCTGGCAGTGCAGTAATCAATTCGCGCACGGTAATAAATGCGGAATCTTGTTGACAATAGGAGTTTAATAAACCCGGGTCTCAGCCATTATATTCACTTCATTATATAACACATTGTTAGCTCAATATCGTCACGCGCGTAGTATTAATTCAAGCGTTTCGAGAAGCTAGCGGGTCTTCAAGTGAGAGACACAGCGTCGGAAAGGGAAAGCGACTTCATTTAGTTCCCAACTAATGTTCGAGCAAGCAAAAGATATTAATATATAGAGCGAAATATAAAATAATTTGTTCCCTCACCCATCTCGCAATTTCTCAATCAGTGAAGAGGGACGGACGAACGAGCGATGAACGGTCATAAACGTAGAGACGGGATAATTACGATCGAAATAGACTTGGGGCGCGTCCTGTCGCCTATGGAAATTCACGTGAATATAAACTCTTCTTACACCATCTCGACGCTCCTCTCTCGACGAGAACTTCCATCGTACTTTCGTTACACAATCGGAGTAGATCGTGATTGTTATTTTCTATGTGAACGTCAAAGGGAATAGCAAGAACCCTAATGGCACCCTTCGCGAAATTTATCACCAAAAATCTTGACGCGTAAACTGATCTTCTTACGTCCTTCCGCGCTAAGATTCCTGAAACTTGCCGGTAACTCGTTGTCAGCCGAAATTTGATGAAGAGTACAACTTTGTTCATGTTCCCCTAAAGTTAGACAATGCTTGTCGACCGTCCAATAAACCTTTCACGTTACACCAAAAGATCAGCGTAATACATCTTGTCGCTTATCGAGAACTTCGGCTACTCACTACACGAGTTTATAGCTCGATCGGAATTTCGTCGAAACGTAGAACGTAATAAATGAATCGAGTCGAGTTACACAATTTTCTCTCCTCGCCGTTCGTCCCCCGGTCTGCTGTTTGTCTCTTTCTCGCGCACCGCGCAATGAGTAGAGAGGAAGGTGGTAGGGAAGCAACGCCACGAGAAAAGACAACCTCCTGTCTCCTGTCTAATGAATAGTTGGGTCAGGCTGCTGCCTCGGTAAATGCTGAGAATTAACCGCTTCTTGACATTTCGCTCGGAAGAAGATCCTCTCCTCTCGCTCGGAGACTCTTTCTCGCGATCTGTCTAGCTTGGCTCCCTCTCCCCCGCACTCATCTTCTCCCGCTCTCATCTCATCTCGCCGGTCGTTTGACCGCACGACATCAAAGAGTAATCGAGAAAGTGCCGATATTCCGAAACACCGGAGACCATTTTACTGAACAGACTCACGCGAATTCGCATCGAATGATAAAACACACCGAAGCTCTATAAAAACGGTAGATCGGATTCAATCGCGAATTGAAATCGGATAAAATATTTGTCGAATGAAAAAAAAAGAAAATGCTTGACGTGGTAAGTACGCACATCCCGCCCACACGTGCATGCATGCACACACATGCATACGTAGATACTCGTATAACGGATTTTTCGGCCTTCACCCCTTCGTCTGGCTGAAATCTGATCGGCGTCTGTTTGTACGCTGATACGAATATACGCGAAAGCGAGCATTTTTATTGACCGGGTTGAACATCGAATCGAGACAGTCTTTTTGACCATTGGATATCTCATGTGTTCCAGGTGAACGAAGCAGCGAGACCCGAAATGAACAACGAAGACCAAAGATGATCATGATCTAATGGCCTTGGTATTCCGTGCGCGAGGGAGAGGACGCTCACTCAGGACGCTTCTTCTTATGGCTGAAGTTGCGGAACTCATCGCGATGAAATTCCACTTCGAGCAGCCACACGTGACGGGAATTCATGTAAGTTTTTGGATGTACTCTTAAGTAGCTTAGATTATGTTCTTTCGTGGCTGTCTAACTTCGCTATACTCCCTCATTCTCGCCGTCACGCGTAATCCAGTGCCGGCGAGAGAGTGACGGCTTTGCGGAACGCGTTTCTACGGAACTACGTCGTGAAACATGATAAATGACTCACGATTCATTTCCCTCTCTCCGGCTCCGGAAAATATTCGTATCGATCCATATTCGTGACGAAGTACGAGTATACTCGCATCTATCAATCAGCCATTGAAAGATCAACAACACGTATTGCCACTCAGTACTGGAGGTAAAAGCTGGGGGAATTTTCGCGAGTAGAAAACGCAAAGAAGGAAACAGACAGAAAATAGCAGGGCGTCGGCGTCGTTCCGAGGAGCTGGTCGCGAAGAGGAAAATAAGCCGGCGGAGTCCGGGATTGCGCGCTAATTAAAGTATCGCCGCAAATTCCTCTAATTAACCGCCGCTACCGCGGCCATAAGTCGCCACGGCCGGCGCAATTAATATCTTATAACATTCGCGGTGACGCGTCACGCGGATTCGCGTGAACGCGCGGCCATCTGCGTAACGAGATTAAAGTCGGTGTTACGCTCAGCAACGCGGCAGAAGCCACGTATGCTTCTTCTTCTTTTTTTTTCATTTTTTAACAGGTCTTATTATATTCCGTTTGTATCTAGTTCCGAGGCCGGATACTAGAACTGTGAGCATATTTTTAAATTTCCTAAAGTCGGTTGCTAAACCGTTACATGTCGTGAAAGTGAACATTTTTTTTATACAAGTAAAAGTAAGTTTACCTCAGTAACGCACTGAGGTGTTCATGGTGGGTGTCGGCCATGAGCGGACTCACTGTTTAACGTCTCTTCCGAAAGACTGACTCCAATTTTTCATTTAGAGTTACCTTTTACCATTAAGAGAGCGCAGTTCTTGCAGTAGCCTAACGAAATTCGAACCCGGTTTCTTTCAATTACGAATCTGGCGCCCTAGCTGCTAATTACGCTGCGCTCTCCGCTCTGCGCTTAAGTGCATTAATTCAACCAGGTGCAGGTGTACTGAAAGCGTTAGGGCGAAACAGCGAGTGAAACAGACCGACGGGCGAGCCATTCCACTCATCTGTGTACGCCTTCACCACTCGAGGCATCCGACCCGAGCGGACTCGGGCGTTTTCTCTTTCTCTCTCTCTCTCTCTCTCTCTCTCTCTCGCTCTCTCGCTCTCTCGAATATACGGCTAAATACATTAATGTCCCACCCGACGACATTGCGCGGAGTCATTGCGTTGTCGCGTTCATTGCACTTCCATTTGGCCAATAAATCTCGAGAAGTGCGATCGTGGAAACGCGCCGGCTGAAATTCTCAGGAAGCGACGTGTCTCTCCCTCTTTCTCTTTCTCTCTTATTTTTATCTCTCGCGTGTATCGCACATCCTGTTATTTCTATTTCCCGCGCATGTCTTCACAAATAAAAATTATGGTGTGTCTTGTATCGGAGACCATCGAGCGCGCGTCACGTGCGCGCGCGCGCGCAATTCAACAGGGAGAGAAATAAACTTCACGTGTGTGCGTCGTACATGTATCGCCGCTGTCTTTGTCGTTTTTCCCTCACGTCGCGTCTTCGCGATTAATGTACTACGAGCGCGTCGTGGAAACTACGCGGGGAGCTTCGCGTCGCAACGACGCGACGTTCGGTTCGGTTTTTCGCGAGGCACAGACGGCGAGAGAGATCCGATCCTCCTCGGGCAGAGCCTCGGCTGCCTCGATTGCCCGTGGATTTTGCGCGCGCCCTTATAATTTACAGCGGGAAGTTCGTTATCCCCGTGGAAATGTCTGCTCGTCTCTCGTTCGCATTTAATTACTCGCGCTCGCTTACGCGTACATGGCGCGAGCGGCGAGATTAGCATGCCGACGACGATCGCAGCTGTGTCAGAGCGACTCTCTCGACGAGCGCGCGGCGCGACGCGATGTCTTAACGTAGAATTACATAATAACAAGCGGAGGATAACACGCAGGCGAGCAGGTAGATACGTCTCTATCACGGGCTTCGTTGTTGGACTCGGATTATAACGTCAATCTCAAGGCGAGGGGAGGGGGGGCGGCGTTCAATCATGAGCTTGGTATCTACCACAAGCGATACTTCTGATAAAATTATGTACAATATTCGGCATAATAAGCATCATTTGGCTCAGGCAAATAATAAATCCACCATCCAAAAATCTTTCTTTCTAACTCATCGACTTTCTGCTTCTTTCTACTCATGGTATTAGGAGCACAGGATCGGCACGGCGGCGCGGCCTCCTGTTCTGAAAAAAAAAGAAAAAGAAACAACATCGTCGGTTAGACAATGAAGTTAACGGTTTAACGACAGAAATAAGCGTGTGATGTATTCGTTGACTTGACATTTTTCGCGTCGCGATGTGTTAATGTCACGATAACGTTACGTCTGATGATACTCCAACCGTGAATGAAGTTGCCTTTTCGTGCTCTTTTTAAGGTCAAAATTTTAGACACATGCTAATCAGGTTTCGTAAGGCTCGAAGAGAAACGAGCGGAGATTGAGGGAGACGCCGGAGAGAGAATAAAATTCCGTGCGAACTGGTCGTCGCTCTCTCCGCCTTTTCTAAATTTTCCCTGTGAGCGAACGATTTTCTTTCGCTTATTATAGCTCGTATCGCGTTTAAACAGTGGGCAAATTACTATAATCTCGTGACTGCTGCTCGCTCGGCGGAGCACGCGTAGCCGGCCAATCGCCTTGGACGGTCATAGACGACGACGACGAATCGAGTCGGTGTTATCATCGAAGTAGTACTTTGATTAATGCGACATCAATTCTCGGTACATACGAGATAGGAAATCCAGTCAGACGAAATTACAGCAATAACAATCTCGCCGTCGTGCGCTCGCGCTTGCTCGCTTTTACGCCGTCGAAGAGAACGAAGAGAGAGAGAGAGAGAGAGAGAGAGAGAGAGAGAGAGAGAGAGAGAGAGAGGAAAACTTAAAGAGGGAAGCGGAGAATGAAAAGAGAAAAGGAGGCAAGGGAGAGAGAAAGAGGGAGAAAGAGAGCCGGTCGCAGAAATGGATGCACGCAAATGCAGCGCAGTGCTGCGTCGCAGAGCACGCCGTGCTGATCTACTCCGCTCCGCTCCGGCTCCGCTCGGCTCGGTGCGCAAGCGAGCGCGACGCAGATAAAGGATAGCGCGCGCAACGCCGGGACTATCATCGGTCGTATCGGGCGTCCGTCGTTGTCGGTCGCCTTGATTTAAGACTCTTGTCGCGGCGCCCGGTTATTGCGATCGTTAATCGACGTTTCGTAGCTTAGCCGCAATTAAGCCCGACGGGTGCGCCGATCGGACGCGCGCGGCGCACTGCAACGGCCGGACGCATTAACGCACGCGATGCCGCGCTCGTCTTCTCCTTCTGCCGTTCGTGAGCGCGTACATAACGCGAACACGAGCGCGAATACGTGCGTGAGCCCGCGCCTATACTCTCGCATAATCGTCATAATTATCGATGATGACGGATCGCTCCGTCACACGCGCTAATTATCGCCGGCCAGGGCGGTCGCGCAACTTCGCGTCGCTGTGGGCGTAAATCGCTCGCTCGCAGCTCGATCTCTCGCTCTCTGTCTTTCCCCTCTCTCTCTCTCTCTCTCTCTCTCTCTCTCTCTCTCTCTGTTCTTCTTTCTCGCGCGCACGTTTGCAAGATTTTTACGCCTGTCCCTTCGGAGTGCCGCGCGGGCATTTATATCCTTCGGGCGGTTCTTCGCGCCGCGCCGCTCCGCTCCAGCCGACGGCGAGGATCGCCGCGACGTTTTTCTCCGTTATCCATCACGACGACGTGCACTCGCCGTCCCCGTCAGTGGTGCGCTCGTGTTACGTAAGGATCGCGCAAATCACTCGGCTTTTAGGGCCCGTTCACACCTTGAGATCGCGTGTCCCGTTCGCTCTGTGATCGGCTAAAAACGCGTTGTTCGAGCATTTCCATGGAGACCCCTGGCGGCTTTCACGACACGCGTTTGTTCCGAGACTCTAATTGTTATATAAATTATTATTATGATATCGCGGTGACGAACTAATCATGCACGAGTACGCGAGTCGACGGACATTACGCGTCATACGAATCCCGGCGCCGATCGATATCCTTTGTCACGCGTTGCATTATAGGTATAATTTTGTTCGCAGCATATGTGTAACATACATATGTGTGCATGTATGTATGTGCGTGTCAGGTGCGACGGCTCTTTATTCACTAATTATTTTATTGGCGCTTGAGGCGTCGAATCACGAGCCAAGCCGCGGGAACGCTGAAAAGAACACTATGGAAAAGCAACGGAACAAAGAGAGTGCGTGAGCGGTTAAGGCGGTAAAGAAGGATTTAAAAGATGACAGGGTTGTTTGTGTAAGACGACGTGTAATCATTACAATTATCGGCGCTGACAAATTATTCCGTTACTGGCGGCGAAGTCGTAATTATCGATGTGCGATCGCCGCCAGTATCGTCCAGTTAGCGGCGCGAAGAGTCGTCGTGGAAGCAAGTTGAATTCTGTTAAAATATAGATCATTTCGCGCGCAAGACACACTGAGAAAAGATTGTATTAAAATTATGCAAAAATATGCTCGAATACGAATGCGAATACATTTATTTAAATTATTTATTTAAATTTAGTTTATTTTATTGTTTTCCAAAATTCAAGAAAAAGGTTCACATCCAGAACTTCTGTCAAATTTCATTTCAAAAATTAGTCGCTTAATTTGAATAAATGTATTCACAGACAAATATTATCGTATTCGAACAAATATTTGTTTAATTTTAATTTAATTTTTTCTCCTTGCAAGGCTTTACCAATCAATCTGAGGAATAATTAATGCCGCTGTGTAATATGAATTTTAGGAAAATATCCTCTCTGTCTCTTTCACTCTGCTATTCTGCATCATGTATTAGCGGAAATCTCCACGAAAAACCTCTGTTAGCTCGTATCTCCATAAAATAACGTCCT